ACTGTCCTGAGGCGGCGTTGCTGACGGGTGCACTGAGCCGTCTTACGCGTGTATCTCGGTACCAGCACGGCAGGCTCCGTATGTGACGTACACGTCCTTTTCGTCTTCACTGAACCTCGGACACGGGCACGCGGCATTTGGCTTGTACGGAAGGAGCCTGAGAGACATGGGAGGGTGGGAGAACGCCACAGAACCCAATCACGGGTGTAATCATGACGTTAATTCGACGGTATTAACAGGTAACCTATTATAGAGGATGTACTTTCGATTCGTGTTCTGATTGGCCGACATTTCTCACCGTAGCGACCAATTCACGTGACTCTCCCAATGCGCCAGCGGAAGCCGGCGCTGGTGAAGCTAGTCAATAAGCTTTCATTGATAACGAGAACATGCACGCTGCACGAGCAGGCTGAGTAGGCGGCGGCCAAGCTAGCAGGGTTGCGGGAGCTGGCTGCGCGAACAGCCGCGTGCATATTGTCCGATGTAGGCGAGATTACGGATGTTCGGCAGAGAATTTTTGATGTAGTCTTCTGTTGTCCTGATATTCGCTCGTTGAACAGCGCCGCAGCATGGCGCAACGCCGAGTGTCCTTTTACGTGAACACAGATCCACTCTTTGACTAGTGGCAACAGCATGCAAATGTCTCTGGCTGGGCTCAGAATCCCGCCGGCGCCATCAATGAATCAATATCAGACCCCACTTTTGACTGAACGCCTCGTTGTAAGCCCCCGAGCGCCCCGAGCCCGCCGTCCTGAACAGTGGGCAGCCTGGGCATGCTGGGCAGGCTCAAAGCCGCATTAACCTCAGCCCGCGCTACCGTTGGTGCCGTATGTCCGTCCGCGTCCGGTCCGCTGAGAGGTCGGCAAGGTTGCGTTCTTCGGTTCGCGTAAGCTGGCGCGCTGGCCATGGCGTTTAGATCTCGCGCGTGGCCTATTTAGTCCTGACGGAGGCGCATGGCTGCTTGGGCTAGTCTGGCAGGACCGCGTATACCCGCCTCTGGTGTCTCCCAATCTGTCGAACTTCAAGACACTAGTGGCATACCCATCGCAAGGAGACAGCGGCCGACGTAGGCCTGGCTATCGGACAATGCACGCATGACAGATATGTGAACTAGTGTGTGGCCGAGACGAGCGAACCCGGGATCGGTGTCGGGGAAAGACCGCTCGTTGCGAGACATCGGACGCCGATACGGCTGCAAGCATACGACAGTGCGATGGAGGATATAGACGATGCATGCCGCTGGAAATCCAGTCCTTAGACAGTGCCGAGGGGGCCGAGGAGTAACTAGACATTCAAAGGGCGAATAACCTCTCCAAGCCACCGACCCATCCCCAGGTTAAGCCCAGGGGTGACCTGGACATCCGTTCTCGAAGTCTTTCAGGTGCTCAGGACCATCCCTCGGACGGTCAGGACGACTAGGGCCCTCAAGGAGAAGCTTGAGAATGACAAAAGTGCTGCCTGGTGATGGAGGGCCAGTAGGCGCTCACACATTCGGTGTTTTAGCATTCCTTGATGAACAATTAGAAAAATTTAGGGAATTATTCGTCCGGGAGGCAAGGTGGATTGTGGGATGTGCTGCTGTAATCCTAGGTCACTGATCACTTGTAATTGAGTATGCCATCATATGGGCAGGGAGCACAGGACTCCAATGCACCCGCATGCCCGCCTAGCATCGCTGCGGTGGAATTGGCGCTGCTTGCGAACCCACATCTCCGCACTGTGCACAGCTAAGCCGCTGGTTCCGCCTTTGCAGGTCGTAGTATTGCCTCGGTGTCTTACATCTTACACAGTCTCACCAGCTTGCTGACGGTCTGCTGAGGTCACCGCACTCCCTTAGACCCAACTCAAGAGCGACTAACAGAACAATGGACAAGTGGGCAACACCAATAACGGCCCAACACATGCGTGGAGTAGCGTATCTCATGAGCCCTCACTGTCATGGTAGCGATTTGATAAGTTGAATCGGTCGGAAAGGCCTAACCACTTGCAAGAATACACCTTTGGTTAATCTGGGATGGCTGAGCTACATATGCCGCCACCAACCACGAGACGCATGAAGTCGTGAGCACCACAGGCTTCAGTGCACGGCAAGTCAAGTCAGCCGCTGGGTCCGTCCGCCGCGGAGGCGCACTCAGCCGCCGCAGAACTGATGTGGACGACTGGAGCAGAAGCCGCCGAGTGCTTTAAACCCAAGCACCTCGCCGCCAGAACCCGCCCAGTCTCGGGGCTTCAGGTCTGTTCCTAGGTCCCATCCAACTCCGTCATTTGATGGGAGCAACCCGAGTGCCGAGATGGAAGAGCCCACTGGGCCACAGGCCATTGAGCCACCGAGTACCTGGTGTACCTGGCCAGCTACCCCATGGTCCCATGCCCTCCGGCCGTTGGCCACCCGTTCACCGCTTCCCAGCTCCCAGCCGCAAATCCAAAGCATCCAAAGTTCAGACGATATGAAAGCCTAAAGCGGGCGAACGTTGGCCGTTCCTGTCCAGAGCCAAGCCTCGCGAGCCTCGCGAGCCTCCGAGCCCTCGCAGCCTGAGAAGCTCGCGGTAGGCAGTGTATCAAATCCAGGACATTCATGGCCGAATCCCAGGATGCAATTTTGGGTACGGTACGGTACACGGGCTCACCCTTCGCTCACCTCCTAACTGATCAGAAGGGACGAAAGCGCAGGATCTCGGCGCAGTCCGTCTACCTTCACTGCACCTCACATGCGGCCTTACGAATCTAAGGAATTGAGTCAGAGCTTGGGACCTCAGGACCTGTGGACTCGCCTACGCGCACCGCGCACTGGCACGAGAGCACGGGTCTTCCTTCAACAACTTGGGCCCACTGTCCGGTGGTCCGTCCTCTCAATCCTGGAAGAAAAATGTTGGGCTCACGGCTAGAACAGAAGCTCAAGCCCCCCCATCAGGTCCATCAGGTCCGCCAGGCCCGGCGCTGTCGAGCCTGCGCCTCCAACGTCAGTACGTCAATACTCAGTTTGAGCCGCCAAAGCCTCGCTCGGAGGCCGATCATGGCGTTCCCAAATCCTAACTTCGTATCCTAAGGCTAGTGGCTCCTAAGTCGTGCGCCGCCGCCGCATTCTCCCTTGCCCTTCCTTCTCCTTCTCCCCCTCCTCCTCCTTCCTTCCCTCGTCCCTCGCCTTCGTCCTTGACTTCAGCGCTCCCACTCCTCCCACATCCCACAACTCATACACTTGTTAGATAGCACCGAGATTCATGCATAGCGTTTGCGATCTGACCATATCCCTCTTTCTCCTCCACCCATTTACTCTACATCTCTACTCACGCTCTTACAACTCCCTCGACAGCTCTCGTCATCATCTATCGGCTCTCGACTCTCGGCACCCGCCCAACTCCCCTCCTCCATCTCACCACTACCCGCATTGCCTCACAAGACTCCCAGGTCGGCTGCAGTACCTCACGAGCTTCCCACTCCCACTTCAGCAGCGCTACCACCTCCCACATTCGCATCGGCTATCGCCTCAGTCCGCCCCAGACTACGTTCGCGTTCTTCGGCATCGCCACTGGTTCATCTGTCAACCCCTCGCATCGAGCATTTACTCCCCATAACTGCTGGACAGTTCAAGCATCAAAGTATAAGCACTCAAAGTAAGTCTCGTGTCCGGATCTTGTCTGTCTCCCGCATGAGTGCGTGAAAGTGTTCCGCCCACGACGACTCGACTAAACATCGGGCTGTGCAGTGGTCACAGGATGCGTAGTGCATTGACTGTGTTGAGCGGCTTGGAGCGTCGGTGTTGGCGCATTGTGAAAAGCTTTGTTCATGGTGGCTTGATGATGGCTTGGAGGGCTTGAGGGTGGGTGCGCCAGAGTGGTGAAGGCGAAATCCGACGGCCGGATCGCAGGATCGAGCAGATCCCAGGATCGCAGGACTTCGAATGCCAGGAGTGTCTAAGAGACACATCTACGCCATGCCAGGCGTCAGGAGCTGCCAGGAGCGCCAGGATCGCAGGAAAGGGGAGTACGACGAGAACGGCACGGTCGAAATCAAAATTGGGCCGGGTTGCTCGGTCAATCGGTCGGTTCGACTGGCTCACCTTGCAATCTCTGGGGCTCGGACGATGCGCTTGCCGACGTCCTCCAGGGCGGTGGAGGTGTCAATAACACTCTGCACCTCCCCGCTCCTCGTCTCCTTGCTGCATCGGTACGACTTCCTGCCGCGTTCCGCTGCGTCATGCCCGTCACGATCTCCACAGCCGCCCTTTCGAGGGACCGAGCCTCTGGTACAACTAGTGCTTGGAGCTCTGGAGGTCGACTTTCGCCCGATCGTCTGCCTGTGCACGCCCACCTGGCAGCGGTGACTCGGCAACATGCACCCGGCACTGGCGTTGTCTCGCATCGCGCAGCCATGACCACTAGTCGGCGCTTTGGAGTGGGTGGGCGGGCCTCAGCTCTGCACGCTCCCCACCCCACTGTGTCTTAGCCGTTGGGCTGGGTTGGAGTGAATGGTCGAATAGGGTCTGGCATCGAGTGCTCTTGTCTCGTTGCGGCTACACTCCAGTGTAAGACAAATACGCCGGAGGAGGCTGGCTCCCGGCTACGCAAGGCGCCTTCGTCTGCATAAGCGCGCTGCGCACTGCGATGCCATGCAGCCCAGACCAAGCGGCGAGGCAGCCGTGCATTACCACATGTCTGACTGCTCGGTCTCTGTGGTCCATCCTTTCGCCGCCCTCACTTTCCCGTCATATTGTTAATTCAGTACCTAGACCTTGCGACCTAAAGCCCTCTAGGCCTTCCATGCTTTTGCTATCCCGGCCCTCATATCCGCTCTCGATCTCATTTCTGGCCCCTGTCGGTGACGCCTAGCTAACATTCGTAAGGCTTAAGGACAACCAGCCAGTCCACTGCGCGCAGAGGAAGTCACGACTCAGATTGCGACGTAAGCGAGAGACACACACACTGTCACTGCTTGTGAGTGCCCGATCTCAATCGCGCTGTCCTGTTATCCTTGTTCCTTGCTGCCAGCTGGCTCCCTTGGCTGCCTACTGGTATGGCCCCTGCAGTAACGACAATTGCCCCTGTCGTCACAACCCCTTGCACCCCTCGCCGTCATATTCATCGCCTTCGTCAGTGGACGACCGAGAGTTATCAATGGCTTTCTTGTCGCCATTAACAACATTCGACGGCATCGTCCACTGGACCATGCTTACATCTGCGATTATCTGGAGTTGTTGCAGGTTCCGGCAGCTGACGCGATTATTCCAGATTTCTTTAAGTATATAGTTTCTCTCACTCCACCAGCCCTGCGCTGCTGTCACTCGCTTTCAACATACTTGGTCAATCGGCTCAGGAGCCCATCGTCTTCCGCCGCCTCCGCCATCGCCTTTGAGCTGAGCTTGTTTATCCTTTCAACTCTAAGTTGGAACCAAACTTTCATTTTTCGCTTGATTTCGCCTCGCCTCGCTGTCTTCGTTGCGTAATCATTTCGGCAGTGACATAAATCGTTCTGTTGCTTGACTCACTTGATCCAAGTAACGGTATACTATCGTTACGCTCTAGACTCGTGCCCGGACACTTGCACTCGCCCTTTCCAGTCAAGGCCCGTTCCGCGCGCATAGCACTTGTATCCAATCAGTAAGTTACCAAGAGGTCCAACGCCGTCGTTCCTTTCTGCAGAAACGACAGGCGTGTGCACATATTTTGAAGTTTCACCACTCTTGTTCTCACTGCCTCTTCCCCTCCTCGACCTAGCGTTATAATGTCGTTTGCCACACGCACTACCACTTCCTGCATTACAGATCACCAACACCACTCCAGGAGCCCGTGCTTACAACCTTAGACCGTTTAAGGCTTCAGTACACTTCAACGCACGCCTCGCAAGCCATCGCTATTGCATTCATCGCTACCGGAACTGCACTGCATTGCGAACGCTTAAACCATCGTGTCTGGCGGCGAACAAATCTTGAGCCACTTTGCTAGCGCCAGAAACAACATCGATTGACAAGCCTTCCTCACCGTAACGGATAATCGTTACACACAGTCCTCAACCCACACAACGCTTGTGTGTATCGGTCTCGATTGCGGACTGTCTAGTGCCTCGGCTGAACCCCGTACCGACACACATACATCTCGGACTACCCGGACTGCGTCTGCCCCTGGAGCTTTGAGTAGATCGAAGCAGGATAAGAACACTGGGACATCGACGCAAGCTCAGTGACCCCGCCGCAACCTCCGCTTCCACCCGGTGCACCAGCTCATCGCGGGTCCTTCATTCAGAACTGGAGCTGCAAATCACCGACCGAGCCCTCGGCTCATCTTCATCTGAAGCGATCGCCTGACGCACGCCCACCCTCTCAGCGATCTAGTTCCTGCGGATCTCACGGCCGTCGGCTCCTCGTCGCTTTCGACAAGAAGTCACCTTGAGATAAAAGGAGCCACCTCGCTGACCTTCCCGACCGACCCTACCCACCCATCCCCCTTTACCATGGACACCGATCCTAACGCCTACAATGATCGAGGAGCGTCTTCGACCTCTTCTACCATCCCGCACCAGCGCCCGGCGGCGTCGCACTCGAGCTCAACGTCGAGCGAACTGGTTGGCCTGCGCGACCACCGCAAGCACACGAGCCCGAACATGGGCAGCAGCAGCGGTATGATGCCGAACCCGATGGTGCCTCAGCAGTCGTCGCCCAAGCTCTCACCCTCGCCCACCCTGCAACAGTCGCCGTCAATACCCCCACATGCCGAGTCTTCACAGCAGGCGGCCCGCCGAAATGCCGCGACGCAGCTTGACTCAGACATGTTCACGCCCTTTGTCTCACCGGCGCACCCGGCACACACCCCGACCGCCTCGCGTGGCGCCACGAACCCGCCGCCGTCTGCCGAGCACCTTCGCCAGATGATCGGTCAAGAAGCTGACTCGCAACCCATCGCACAACACGAACCCGTCAAGCCCGTCGAAGAAGCCGTTGAGCAGTCTCTCCTCACCTGCAAGCCTCTGGACCTCGTGTCTGTCCAGCCGCCGGAACACCTTCCGCCAGCGCCTTCGACCGCAGCATGGGCCCAAGCCCGCAAGCAGCCAATGGAGCGCATCGTCTCACAGGCCGGACCGCCACCCCCCTACCGCCCCCGGCCACCGATGCTGAAGCGCGCCAGGAGCTTCTCAGACCCTCCTGAGAACCACCGCCCGAGCGCGCTCTTCCAGGCCAGGAGCGCTGCCAAGTACTTTCGCGGAATGCCGCGGAAGCGCATGCGCGTTTGGACCGCCAAGGACGCCGCTGAAGCCCACGAGGGTGAGCGTCTCATGAGGCAGATCAGAGGGCGCGCGCAGGATCATTACATCGCTGCCGCCCGTGAGCCTCCCGTCAACATGAGATCTCTCCGTGTGTTGGACACGAACGAAGTTCTGAGATTACCTCAGATGCGCCACGATCTCCTGTTTGACAATTTTGGCTTCAGGCCGATCCACTCTCCGATGCCGTACCACTCGACCAACTACGGGTTGCTGTCGACCAATATGCGGTCCCAGATCGTCCACCCGTCTCCTGCGTCGGAGGCTGCCAACAAGTATTGGGAGTGCATCCGACGTGAAATTGAGCTCGGCTGCCGCTGCACTCGCTGGGACCACTCGCAGCCGAGTCGCATCAAGGACTGCATTTGCGGCAACTGGAAGCCTGGACTCAACGAGAAGCAGTGGTGGAAGGAGACTCGTGCGACTTGGCCGTCACGGTTGCCGAAGCTGATTTCGACCCTGAGGGAAATCCTGGAGAGCCTGATGGCGTCAACGACGACTTGCGTGAACCATTACGCTCATCCCAATAAGGAGGCACAGGCACTGCACGCTCAATCGTGCCCGACCGTCACGCATTCGCTGGTCCCCACGCTTTTCGCGGCCTTGGACGCCGAGTTCCTGACGATTCAAGTGCGACGTGGGAACTTTGACACGGGCATCTTCAATGTTATCGGCGAAGCGATGAAGATCCACTGCGCGCCCGTGCGCGACGCCATGGTCGACGACATGGTCGCAACGGCGACGGGTGCAGGCGGCAAGCGCAGGCCCAACGTCGTGCAGGGTCTGCGCAAGTGCTTTGACTGCGTCGAGGTCATGAAGCTCGACATTGCGAACCACCAGGTGCAGAGTCTGAAGGGCATGCTGTGGCAGCAGGCCGAGCAGAACGAGATGACCACCTTCATCAACTATCTGATCGCCGCTGGCCGCACCCTCGAGACGTCCAAGACGTACGCCTGGATCAATGCTGCCTCGAAGCGCGTTGCCATGTCGACTTCGCCACGGGAGCGCCGTCACCTGCTCGGCCAGTGTGGATGCGGCAGCAACACCGAGTTTGTCATCCGGTCGCTGACCGAGGGCTTTGTGCAGCTCGTCTTCGGCGACTGGATCGAGTGCAACGAGCCGTGGCCGCCTGCGCTTCCCAGTCGCCGTCCCGTTGGTGTGCCCATCAATGCGCCCGTGTTCCCGAGCAAGGTTGTCGTGCCGGAGGTGTTCAAGATGGATTCGTTCCGCCTCAAGCTGTACCACACGGAGCTCGTCGACCTGACGATTGCGACGACGATCCTGCAGTCGTTCGAGGAGGCGTACGTCCAGCACAACAGCTCTGACAGCGCGGAGCAGGTACGTGCCCAGGTCACGCAGGTGCACGACAGCTACAAGCACATCATGACGATGGGCAGCGGTCTGCTGCGCCCTTCGAGCGACTGCCCGTCCGACCTGGCGCTGCACATGGCGCACCGTATCGTGTTCTCCAAGACGAGCGAGAACTACAACACGGAGCGCTCGCATTCGGACGTTGAGCTGGTCAACGCCCTCGCGCACGACTTTGACTCCTTCATCATGCGCGACCTCGCGTCCTTCTCCTGCGCCCGCTTCGCCGAGACATTCGGCAAGGTGCGCAAGCTGGCTACGACCATGCTCGCGAACACGCTGCTGCTGCACCGCGTTCAGCCCGAGAGTGTGCTCTACGACACGGCCGGCACCGACGCGCGCCCCTGTGCCGCGCCTGGACCTAAGGTCAAGGCGCCGCGCCTCCGCGTCGCGTCCCGCCGCTTCGTCACGCTCGCGGAGCCTCTGACGGGACAGGGCTCGTCGACCTCGGACCCGCGGGAGCGCTACCACCGTCCCGCGAGCGCCGAGATCACGGCGGCTCGAGAGCTCTTCCACTCTACGAAGGCTGGCAACCGGGAGGCGGAGGACGCGCTCGCATCCGAGCTCGGGCTCGACAATGTCCTCGCCGACATCCGTGCCGTCGTCGAGAAGATGGCCAAGACGGCCGACTTCAACCTCTCCGTCTTTGCGCCCCTGTACGGGCGTGGGGGCATGCTCATCGGCAGCGGGGCCGTTGTGCCGCTGCCCGAGCTCGAGCGCGAGCGCCGCTACTAGACCCAGACTTCCATATAATCCCACCCACATCCACAACCCTGTCTGTATGTGTATCCCATGTAATGCATTGGTCTATCCTTGTCTTTTCTGTTACACCAGCGTCACGTTGCCGTACACGATGCGGCCGTCCAGGAACGTAGCCTTGACCTGCGTCTTGAGGATGTCGTCCTGGTCGTTGGTGATCACGTCGTCGTCGAAGAGCACGGCGTCGAAGCGCATGCCCGGCGTCAGCGAGCCGGTGTCGGTCGAGAAGGAGGCGTAGGCGGCTGTTTGTCAGTTCCTCAACTTCGGCATAACTCACGATCAGCAGTGAAGCCGCGCAGGGCCTGCTCGCGGCTAAGCTTCTCCTCGGGGACCCAGCCGCCGGGGCCGTGGGGCGAGTCGCCCTTCTCGTCTGTGCGCGCGACAGCGGCGAAGAAGCCCTTGAGCGGCGACGGCTCCTCGACGGGGAAGTCGGAGCCGAGCGTAGTCCGTCCCCCAGCCTTGAGGTAGCTCTGCCAAGCGTAAGCACCGTGGAGGCGCTCGGGACCGAGGCGCTCCTCGGCATAGTGCATGTCGCTCGTAGCGTGCGTGGGCTGGTAGCTAGCAATGATGCCGAGCTTGGCGGCACGCTCGAGATCGGCCGGGGTCATGATCTGGGCGTGCTCGATGCGGAGCCTGCTCTCGCGGCCCTTGGCGGGGTCGTCGCCGATCGCGGCCTCCATCGCGTCAATGACGACCCGGTTCGCCTTGTCGCCGATAGCGTGCACGTTCACCTGCCAGCCCTCGTCGTACCACTTCTTAATCGTCGGGGCCCAGCTCTCCTCAGGCGTCAGGAGGAAGCCCTTCCACCCGGGCTGATCAGAGTAGTCCTCGATCAGGGCCGCGCCGCGCGAGCCGAGCGCTCCATCGCCGTACAGCTTGACGGAGCGCAGGGTCCAGCGTCCGTCGCCAGCACCCTCAGCACGCTCGACGTTCGCGCCGCAGTACTCGGTCTGGTTCTTGCAGAGGAGCATGGTGTAGTAGCGCAGCGGGAGCTTGCCCTCGTCGGCCATGCGGCGGAAGAACTCGACCTCGACAGGCAGAAGTCCAGCATCGTGTATTCCCGTCATGCCGAGCCTGAGGGCGTCGTCCGAGACGATGCGCAGGAAGTTCTCGCGCTCCGTATCCGTCTTCTCCGGCTGCACCGGGGTGACGTACGCGCGGATCGCGTTGTCGACGAATACGCCCGTCGGCTTGCCCTCGGCGTCACGCACGACCTTGCCGCCGTCGACGTCCTCGAGCGGGATCTCGCCGATCTGCTCCAGTACAGCGGGAGAAACCCAGACGGCGTGCACGTCGATGCGCGACAGGACGATGGGCACGTCCTTCAGCGTGCTCGTGTCGAGGTCAGCCTGGGGTTAGCTAGGTCGAACGGGGAGACTTACAGCAGTGGGGAACTCCTTGACGTCCCACAACGTCTGGTCCCAGCCCATGCCGGTCACCCACTCGCCGCTCTTGACACCCTTGGTTCGGACGTGCTCCTCGACCTTGTCCACAATCTCCTGCACGCTCTTGCTGCCGACGAGGGAGAGGCTGCGGAACTCGCCATAGTGCAGCGGGTGGGCGTGGCTGTCCGTCCAGCCGGGAGTCAGGCTGTATCCCGCCGGGATCTGGATGACTTTGATGCCCGTCTTGCCGTCGGGGGCCTTGATCTTGGCGCTGCGGTCACCGTAGGTGCGGCGGACGTGGGCCAGGCTGCCAACGTCCTTGACGCGCTTGTCGGCGACGACAACGCACTCGGTCGCGCCGAGCCCACCGGCAGGCGGCACGGTGTAGATGCGCTTCTCGGACGAGCACACGGCGTATGTCTTGGGAAGAGGGCGGGAGCCAGAGTCGACACTCCACGGACGCTGGGGGTTGCCCTGCTTCTGCGCAAAGACGAGCATGGCCGCGAGCACGATCAGGCTGATCGCGATGTGCACGCTGCGGTTGGGCTTGGCGCGAGTCGGGGGCGCGCCAGGGCGATCCTTGGGCGCGTACCGACCCGCATGTCTCGTGTTGCGCTGGCGCAGCTGCGATCGCTGCGACATGGTTGATGAGCGTCTGAGTAAAAAGTCGAAAGTGGGCAGAAGTTGCGGGTTTCTTCTGAGTCGCGAACGGCGGGTGCGCGTTAGAAATCCGGACGGGTCTTGGATTTCCGTGTGGAGCCCCCAGGGCCGATGCTCCACTCCCACGGCGCTGGCCGGTAGTTTGGATCTGGGTGGAGGGTGGTCTCCCACGGTGCATTGCAGTGGGGTCGATGTTTTGATCCCGTGAGCCAAGAGTGGAGGATCGGGAGCAAATCTGCCGGGAGCAGGGCCAGGGCCAGGGCGGGGACGCCCACACGCAGCCGCCTGCGAGTGACTCAACAAGAGGTGATGCTGTGTTGCCATCGCTTCTTCCTTCCCCAACCCCCCTGACGAGACCTACTGACCCCAACCCATCATGAGCGAGTTCGACAACGACCTTTACGGAGACCTCGACCTCGAGGACCTCGACGCCACCCAGCTCGACGAGGAGCTCGTTGACCCCGATCAGGAGAAGCAAGAGGACAACAAGGAGTCATCTGCTCCTCACGACGCCCCCATCAAGCACGAGCCTGCCCCGGCAGCCGCGCACGACAGCCATGCTTCGGGCAGCGGACAGCACGGTGGCAACGATGGCTACTTTGAGAACAGGATGCGGCCGAGCGACATGCCGGACGAAGGGTTAGTACTGTGTTCCTTTGCTTCTTGCCGCGCCCACGCGCCCACATAGCACGGCTTGATGGCTTCAGCTGTGGCATCCGCTCTCTCCCGTCGTCAAGAGCGACGGTGGGGTGGTGCCCGGCCGAACGGCCACGGTCATCTAGGCGCGCAGACGCGTTGCGGTGGCGACAATGTTGTGATTCGTACTCGTGTAGGCTCCCAGGTAGGCCCCAACAACTGCTACTCAGCTAGACAGAACAAACATAGTTCTTGCTTTACATCCATCCCGTAAGACATCCAGACACATAATACTGATACAATTACCCATGTCATCATCATGTAAACCTACGATCAATTCGCGCGATAATCCGTCCACCGTTTACCGTCCACACACTGTTACAGCAAGATGTTCATCGGTGGACTTAACTGGGAGACAACAGATGGTTAGTTTGATCGTTTTCTCTTAGCTCTATCTCTTCAAACGCAACCGCGACAACATATGCACCTCAAGCAGGATGGACGCTTGGACCGGATTAGACCGGACCAGCGCCGGATAATGTGAACCTGCTGTACCGCAGGCGCCATGTGCGCTACAGCGTCATAGCTTATAGCACTCGGACAAACCGTCTCACGGCATCCGGCTTCGATAGCACCGATATCTTGGGTAGCTTGGACACTGGATAGCTTGGGTAGCTGGGTAGCTGGATCGCTTGAAAACCACATGATTGAAAGGGAATGGCTCGGGCTTGGGCTCACGCCCTTGCTTGGAAGCTGGAAAGATGGGATGGCACAGAGGACACCATGGACGTATGACTGACATGACAGACGGACTCCGATCATACTTCAGCCAGTTCGGTGACATTGACAACTGCACGATCATGCGCGACCCGACCGGCCGATCGCGTGGTTTCGCCTTCCTGACATTCAAGAGCGTGTCGAGCGTCGAGGCCGTGCTGGCCAAGGACCACCAGCTGGATGGCAAGATGGTGAGCTGAGAGGTTCTGTCAGCAGCTGACGTCAGATCGACCCGAAGCGCGCGATCCCGCGTGCCGAGCACGAGCGCACGGCCAAGGTGTTCGTCGGCGGCCTTGCTCCGTCCGTGACGAGCGACTCGCTGAAGCAGTTCCTCTCGCAGTACGGCAAGGTGATGGACGCGACGGTGATGTTTGACCGTCTGAACGGGCGGTCGAAGGGTTTCGCGTTCGCGACATTTGCGGACGAGTCGGGCGTCGAGAACGCGATGCAGCACTCTGGCGTCGAGCTCGAGGGCCGCCAGATCGAGATCAAGAAGGCCCAGCCGCGCGGCGCCGGCACGCAGGTCAAGACGTTCAACGCCCCCGGTGGCGCGCGCACGTCGGGCTTCAATGCGACGAGCGGCATGGGCATGGGCGGCGGCTTCGACCCGAGCGCCATGGCCATGATGTACCAGAATATGATGAAGGGCAACAGCATGGGCATGAGCGGGGGCATGAGCGGCGGGTTCGACCCGAGCGCCATGGCCGTCATGTACCAGAACATGATGAAGAGTGAGCTGGTGTCCTGACGAGAAGCTGACAGCAGACATGGGCATGAACCAGGCCCCCGCGATCAACCCCAACATGGCCCAGCGCGGCAACATGGGCATGGGCATGGGCAACAACATGATGATGAACCCGATGATGATGGGCATGAACCCCATGATGGGCATGGGTGGCATGATGGGCGGAGGCATGATGAACAACGGCGGCGGCGGCGGCATGGGACGTGTAAGTCTACCCAGCTATTTAGCTCGCACGTAGCTGACAACAACAGGGCCGCGGACCGAACGCGCCCCGCGGACCGTCGGCGATGCGCGGCGGCGGGCCCTCGGGCATGGCCCAGCCCATGGCGCAGGGCTCGTCCCACGGCGGAAACGGAAACGGCTCCGGGCCCCAGCGCTACTCGACGCAGGGCTCGCAGCGGGCAAAGCCATACTAAGCCTGTGGCTTCCTATTCCTCGTCATCTCTCCCTTTCCCAACTCTCTCTCACCAACGACCGTCCCCATTATCTATACAAGTTCATAAATCAGCAACAAAGTGCATGTACAGTGTCTACGTCTACGTCTCTAGAGCCCCGCGCCCATCTTGGACATCTTCTTGTCCCGCCCACTGACGCGCGCGGCGTTGCTGTGCCCCCTGCTGCCCTTGTTGGGCTTGCCGCGGCCACCGCCTCCTCCCCTCCCTCCACGACCGCCACTGCCGCCTCCCCTTCCTCCTCCACCGCCACCGCCACCACCTCCCCCTCCCTCCTTCTTCTTCTCCTTGCCCTTGCCCTTGTCCTTGTCGTCCTTGTCCTTCTTCTCGCTCGGCGCCGAGCGGCTCCAGTTGTGTCGCTCGAGGATCGCATCCTTGTGCGGCTGATCGTCAGCTCAGCAAACACGGCGCCCAGCTGGAGACAACTCACATTCCGCTCGAGCATGATCTTCCACCCCTCGATCTGCCCGTCGTCCATGCCCGTGTCCTCGCGCAGCTGCTGGCGCGCCTTAGACCTGCGCGTTGCGCTGTCGCGCGCAAACACTTCGGGCGTACGGAGGTATGCGAGTTCGAGCTTGGTCTGTGTCTGCGCGTGAGACTTGGAGGGACGCTCGAGGCCCGGTGGCGGTGATGAAGACCGCTGTGTGTCAGCTGAATCCGATATGTATGTAGCTTGAAAGGGAGAGTGGAGTGGACTCACTTCGCTGGCCAGGTCGACTTCCTCCTCGTCCCGGTCCGTCGTCTCGCCCCCGTCTCGCGTCGCGATTACGCGCTGGTACTCCTCCTCGTCGGACGCGTAGCCCCGTGCCTCGGCGATGGCGCGCGCGGCCTCCTCTGCCTCCTCCTCTTGCGCCTGCACGAGGCGCAGGATGGAGTCGCGCAGCTGGTTCGGGATCTCGCGTCCCAGGTCCAAGTCCGGTACTGTCTCACTGCAATATTAGCTAGGAAACACATCACGCAGCTTCAAGCCTCTGCAGTGCAGAGCAATAGTGAGTCAACTCACGTATCCTTGATTCTGAGCTTGGCCAGATCCGCGTCCGTGAACTGCGATCGCCGCGGCGGCGCGGGCGCTGGTTCCGGCACTGGTTCAACGGTCGGCGCAACAGGCGACGCGGCGGCAGCAGGCCCATCTGCGGAGGCAGCAGCCTTGAGCGCCGAGAGCTCGGCGGGGAGCTCGTTGCCGAGAATGGCGTCGATGAGCGGTGCAGCTGCGTCGTCGGTGTTAGCTCCCGCGGCAGTGAAATTGGGATGCGCGAGCGCGTCGCTGAGCAGATGCGCTGGGATGTGCGGGAAGAGGGCTGTGAGGTTCGCCAGGCGCTGGTCGTCAGCTTAGCTGGGGAGGTAGCCGTAGCTATGAAGGCGAAACCCGAGTCACTCACCGGGTCCGTCCCGTGCTCCTCGTCGTGTGCGCCGCGTGTAGCCGCCGCCTCAGCGTCACCGAGCGCGCGATGCGCCTCGAACAGATCGGCGTAGTCCCGTCCCATACTCTGGTTCACGAGGGGCACGCCCCTCGGCCCCTCGTTCTCGAGCAGGCGCCGCAGCTCGTGGTCCTTACCAACGAGTGCGCGCGCGAGGACCAGCATCTCGCCCTTCGACCTCGTGTCCGCTCCGCCGTACGCCTTGGCGAGCGCGCGCATGAGTGCCTCGGAGTGCTTGACGACGGCATTCTCCGTACTCCTCAGTCGCAGCAGGCTGTGTGCCAGGCGAACTGCGCGCACGCCCCCCGGAGCGCTGACGCGCGACGGCAGAGCAGACAGCAGCCCGTCCCAGTCGAGCTTCAGGTGCGAGAGCGCCGGGTCCAGCACGCTGACGGCCGTGGGGTAGGCGAGGAGCGCGTCGCATGCCAGCGGGAGAGAGATGGATTCCGGAGACTCGTCACACAGTGTGCTGAAGGCATGTAATGGTCCCAGAGGGGCAGAAGTGCGGTGCCGCGCCAGAAGACCGAGGAAGGCGGACAGAGGGGCGAGCACGCCTGATGGGCCAAGCGGGGCGGCCTTGCCGACCTCCATAGCTAGGTAGGAGAGTGCTTTGGGAAGCAGCTCGGACGGCGGGGAGCCGGTTGGTATCGTCATTGTTGGGTGTCGTGGAGGTGTGGACAAAGGAGGGAAGGGAGCGGGTGATCAGCGAAATGTCTCGACGGAGAGTCGATGGAGGAGAGGTTCATGACGCAGAGTTCGGATCCGGGACACGTGTGCCACGTGGGGGTGCTTGTGGCAGGGGAGTGTCGATGTAGATATCAAACCGAAGACTGAGGCCTCATGCATAGAGTCTAGGCTTTGTGAGCGTCTGTCTCCTGAATAAGGTATCTTTAATGGGTTTGGAGCGTTGCATTGCTATAGAGTATGGATGAGTGGCACATGAGCGGCCACCGAGTCGAACCACGCCACCCAGCAGCATGGTCGTGTGCCAGCTCGTTACTGCCTGCCATAGCGTTCGGCCTTGATCCAGTCCTCAAGCTTGTGCATCGTGTCGAGGGATTCAGGCTTCCAGTGGAACGGCCGCTCACCGGGAGCAGAAACGTACTCCTCGCTGGAGTCGGAGCCCTCACCGTCATTCTCCTCGGGTTTCTGGTCCTCATGAGGCTGCTGCTCTTCAGGATTCTGCCCATCTTCGGGCTTCCACTCCTCCTGATCCCACTCCGGCTTCCACTCCTCCTGCTTCTCCTCCGGGTGCCACTCCTCCTGATTCTCCTCCGGCTTCCACTCTTCCTCAGCGTTGTCCGCGTTGTCGGGTTTCCACTCCTCCTGTGCCTGTCCTTCCTCATGATTGTCCTCCGGCTTCCACTGTCCGTCGTCTTTTCCCTCAGGCTCCCACTCTTCGCTGTGGTCACCCTCCTCATGCTGGTCGCCTTCCTCATTGTGGTTCTCCTCCTCAGGCTTCCATTCCTGGTCGTGATTTCCCACATCGTGGTCCTCCTCGTCGTTGTTCTCCTCGTCGTGATTCTCCTCCTCCTTCCACTCTTGGTTCTCCTCGGGCTTCCACTCCTCCCCGCCGCTCCCCTGGTCGTCCCCCTGATCTTCGGGCTTCCACTCCCCATTTGCGTCGGGCTGCCACTCCTGACCCTCCTGACCCTCCCCAGTCTGACCTTCGCCTTCCTGGCGCACAGCCAGCGTGTCCATGTCCTCGAGGACGTAGCGGGGCAGCAAGGGTGTGGCGGCGGCAAAACCGGCCAGGCCAGTCGCGAGAAGGATGGTGATTCTCATGATGGGTGCGTGTCGAACAGATGGTCGTGTGTGTAGGACGAGTCCAGCTCGAGATAGCGCCAGGCTGCGAGTACGGTAGAAGAAGAAAGTGTCCGAGAGTGTTGTGTGTAGTTGTTTTGGAATGCTGAGGGCCAAATATATGCAGGCCCTCATTCCAATCCAGGTTGGTGGGCAGGTTCCCAGATGGCCGGGGACAATGGCGGCGCGTCGTGAGGACATCTGCTCCGATGTCGGGGTGTGAGACGGGGACGCTCCATGCCGAGGATGTCGGAGCCACGCTTACCGGCACTTCGCAGCCTTTGCCAACAGCGAAACAGACCTCCAATGCCTCCGGGTCCAGTACATGCTACATTATACATCGTGCCCTCGTCGAGAGGCTAGAGATTACAGACGAGCTCAGCTCGAGAAGAAGTGCCGGGACGCAGACCCAGACAAAGTAAATAGGACGGCGCGGCGCAGCAGAACTCGGTTCCGCAATCGGTGTGCTCAATGGCCGCAGGGGCTCGCGGCTGTGTTCGTGTTCACGCTCGCTTTCACATTCGCGTCCCCGCCGATGGCGACGGGAGCCTCACCGGGAGGCGACACGCCGTCGTCGACGGTTCCAGGCACGTCGAGGGGCGTGAGGTCGTATCCCTCGGGATTGACTTTGGTCCAGGGGATCGGGGCGGCAGAGACAGTCGCGAGGAAGGTGAGGAAGACGAGGGAGAACTTCATTGTTACTGCCGTTGGGGTTGATACACGTATGTTGTTCTGAGATACAGGTGCTTATGCTTTGTTGTTGTTGTTGCGTACAGTCACCGGGGCGCCAGGCGACGGTGTGATTGTTGTAGAGAGAGACAAGAGGTAATTCGTAGAGAGCAATGGAGAACAATGGCGTTTGCCCAGAGGATGGACTATATACCTCGCTAGTCTCTCGACCTCGCTTCATCTCGGCGTCGGAGCAGCATAGCAGCGAGGGTCCCAGCGCACTGCTAAACAAACGCCTCCGATCGCCCTCGAATCGGCAGAGGTGACGCGCACAGCACACCCAGCACACCGTGCACACCAGTGCCCAGCCCAGGCACAGCCCTACTCGCCCTGACATCGCCCAAGCCTCGTTTGCCGGGTTACGTGAAACGCACAATGCACGAGTCATGCATGACCACGTCAGAGATTCTTGAAACGCATCCAGGCCCCGACGTCTCGCAGCTGTTCAGCTACCCCGGAGCAATGCACGAGTCCGTGGAGAGGAACAGGGTGGGTCCCCCAGAAGTGAGAGAACGCGTCGAACAGACACGCGCGTGAACTCTGTTGGGTGAGGCTGATCAGAATTTCAGGGTACTGGCCGTGGGCGCCGGGGCGCGGCCCGGAGCGACCGGCTGGCTGGACGCGTCAGGTCGCATGCTGACGGCTTCGATTGCTTGAGGCCAGATCCACTCTCAATGGCGGGGTGCACCTCTAAACTTGGATGAAGGTTGAGGGACGTCATGTAAACTCAATGCTTGCGTAACTGTAGCTGAATGACGATCAGGTCGAGGGGGCGGGGTGCGTACGTCCTGCCATCGCCCTGGCGATCAGTGACGACGACAAAGATCAGCGCGCACTGCTTGTCTGTGCGCCGCAGGCCACAGCAGACGTGTGCTCGAGGAAGACACATGTGTACACAGGAGAGGATCGTGAGGAGGGAAGATCTCTAGCGTCGGTGCTCCGCAGCCGAGCATCAGCCTTGCGGTTTGGTGTGACGACTGATCTCACCTTCCTTCTCACACATTGCGTCTTCTTCGCCACCGCGTATCTTCTCATGAGAACATTCTCCACAACAATAAGACTTCCCACCACCGCCTCGGCCCCACTAGGTTCAAGAGCTCGCTTGGTAGAAATAATGGGGAGCCAGGTCCCTTCTCGGCAACTACAAGAGCCATGAGATCGCTTGGCAGGCGATAAGCTGAGAATTCGACTCATCTATCAAAGCACCCTTCTTTATCTTGCCACTTCCATCTACGGCACGCGCTCGGCACGATGAAGTTGACTCGATCAAAACAACGCGAGCGACTGTTATCACTATGTGAACGTACCGCGCGCAGCCGACTTGAATTGTAGCTGATGTTCCGCCATCCTCGCGATCTCGCGCACAGACACCGAGGTGACATGTGCCGCACTGGGTGTCGGAGTAGCGCGACCTCCTCATGCGATGGACGTCCTCCACCTTGTTTCTCCACCTCGCTTTCGCCGACAGCCAGAGCCGTTGCCGCGTCGGGGGTCGTTGGATATCAACAACGCGGCAATGGATATTTCCCCACTTTGCCCACTCACAGCCGCCCAATTCACCGATCCCGCATTGGCTGGGTGCTGGCTGCGGTGGCCGGCGCTTGCCACTCTGGACCGGGACATCGCCAGGCACGTGTGGAGACCCCGGAATGTTTCCAATACCGCTGACATTCTTGGACATTACGCCCCGCTCGAGTGGTGGGATTTTCCAACGATCTCCCAGCTATCGGCCACAGCGGCATGCACGGCGCGTATCCCGGTCCTATCTTTCCAAACCACCGGGAAATCATCCCTCCAGCCCCCCTCGCTCGCTACATATAGCAACTGGCGAGCAACGTTCTCTTCCCCCTTTCGCAACCCATCTCCTTTTGTTCGCCATGATTCGAACCATCCTCCGACGACCGGTGAGCACCCCCATCTGACGTCATATACTGACTGGACAGCGCGCTATCCGATTCCCGGCGCCGACAACGAGCGCGACAGCGTCCTCGTCGCGTATCCCGATGCGACCCCCGGCGAGCACAGCAACTCGCGGCGTCAAGTCGTCTGCGCGCCAGTCCGACCCGGCATCGACCATCGTCCCCGCGCCACTGCACTGGGGTAGCGGGGAGGACATGCCGACCGAGCTCGAGATCCCGCCCTCGAAGCGGGCCGAGAACGCGAAACCCCGCGAAGGCCACGCTGTTATTAGCACGTTTGACCTGTTCTCGATCGGCGTCGGGCCGTCCTCGTCCCACACCGTGGGGCCGATGCGGTAAGTCACCCTCGTCAGCCTTGTGCCGGAGATCTCCGATCCACATGAAACGAGCATAACTGACGCCCAGTGCCGCCAAGATCTTCACGTACTCCCTCCCGCCCGCGATGCACGACAAGATCGCGCACTTGAAGGTCTCGCTGCACGGCTCGCTGGCTGCGACGGGAATGGGCCACATGACGCCGCACGCGGTGCTGCTGGGCATGATGGGCGAGGACCCGGAGACGGTGGAGGTTGGACGTCTCTCGCGCGTGATGGACGAGGTGCGGGCTGTGGGGCAGATCGACCTTGGGTTGGACGGGGGACACAAGCGCGTGAAATTCGATCTCGAGAAGGACCTGACGTGGCACCTGAACCCGCTGCCGTCGCACCCGAACGGGATGGTGTTCACCGTGTTCGACGACGAGGGCAACATGCTCGCGACGAACGAGTACTTCTCCATCGGGGGCGGCTTCGTCGTCAACCGCGAGACGCAGATGGACGAGAACATGTACTACATGCAGACGCGGCCGAAGGACGCAAAGGACTCGCGGCGGCATGTCGACGACGAAGGCGACGCCGAAGGCGGAGCCGGCGTCCTCCCCTCCCCCAGTGCCGAGGCAACGGACGTTCTGCAGAAAACCGACGCGGACGTGCCGGAATCCAAGGGACAGCCGCGGGACCACAAGCCGCGGCTCCTGTTCGCGTCGGCCGAGGAGCTCTACGCGATCTGCAAAGAGCACAATCTGACGATAGCCCAGGTGGTGTGGGAGAACGAGCGGGCGTTCCGGTCTGACGCCGAGATCGCCTCGGGCCTCCTCCAGCTCTGGCAGGTCATGGACGAATGTATCCGCAACGGGGTCACGAGCACGGACAAGACGCTCCCCGGCGGCCTGGAAGTAAGGCGGCGCGCGCCAGGCCTGTACAAGCGGCTGCAGCAGGGCTTCTACCCCGCCATGGCTATCCCGAAGCCGGGCGGCAGCGACGAGACGGCCCTGACGAAGGGCGAGCAGCGCATCGGACGGACAGACCACCCCCTCCAGCTGATCCCGCGGCACACCCGCCCCGTCTTCCCGGGCATCGAGTATCTGTCCTGTATGGCGATTGCCGTGAACGAGGTAAACGCTTCGGGGGGGCGTGTAGTCACCGCGCCGACGAATGGGTATCTCGTGGAGTACCACTCCCAGCAGCCTGAGCGCGACGTCATGACGTTCCTCCTCACTGCGGCCGCCATTGGCATGCTGTTCAAGCGCGGCGCGACCATCTCCGCCGCAGAGGGCGGGTGCATGGCCGAGGTCGGCGTCGCGTGCTCCATGGCCGCGCCGCGGCGGGACTCGCGGCGACGCTCGGCGCAGAGCCCGCCGTCATCCTCCAGGCTGCCGAGATTGGCATTGAGCATAAGTGAGTAGACTTGGGTG